GGGCTAATGAAGATGGGCATACGCCATACAGTGTGCTATGAGGGAAATTTTGCCCGGACAGCAGCACTACGGTCTACTCTTATATCGAATTCCAATTGTCAAGGGATCTTTAACATGCACGCCAATGTGTACACGTGACCTCGGTTTTTTCGTCCCATCCTAATGACTAGACAGCTGTCCTTGTCAGACCCTCCGTTCCGCATAGGGATCATTGGCTCCCAGTCCACCAATAAATCTTGATAATACATTATTTAAGACAAGTTTTTTTTTAAGGGTGGGTGGAGCTAAAGTGTGCAGTTTTTACCCCAAGAATTTAACAAGTTATCAGGCTTAACAAGCCAACAGTGAGGCTGCTGTCCCCCGTCGAAATCCCGAAATAAATAGATGACACATATTAATTAGTTGCACGTTTATCTTTTTCAACTATACACTAGGTTTCATCACTCTCCATCAGATAGAATCAAAGTCAAAAAAGTTGCTTAGCTCTGCTTAGCTTTAGCGGGAAATGTTGATCATTGAACTCAGTCAATTATTCAAGATTAAAATTGACCAAATAAAGTCTGCTGAGTTGAAAAAAATAAATTAATATAGAAATAATTTGTTTACCTCATTCCTACAATCATTTCCATACAAGCAGACGACAGAAAATTCTTTTCACAGAAACCTCTTTCCCATCCTTCAGTTCTGGCTTTCTGCCATGCCTAAAACATAGAAACAACATCCCGTACCCATTACCAAGATAAAAAAAACCATCCTGTGAGCATGCTCACCAAAATCTTAGTCAACTTTAATACCAGGGAAACCCAAATTATTCAACTGATAAATTTCTAATTAACAAAAATCACCACTACTCTAATATGATAATGTGTGTACAAATTTTTATAAAGATATCTTGAACAGTTTATGATATGCTCTTGAAACAAAACATGGACAGACGGATGGACCCCATTTCAATATCACTCCCCAATTTCGTTTAATGTAGGATAATAAACATTAAATTTCCCATTCAGGAAAATCCAGCTGATTTATAAAGACAGATACTTTTATTATTATTATTAAGATAGGTTGCAAGAAACATACACCCACAGCATCTAAATCGTCTGGGCTGTCAACAAGAGTTTTTGCATATTTTTTTCTTTTGTTGGTAATGAAAAATTTATAATACACTAAAATCTGATTAAGACTATGTGTATAAATTTAAAGTCAGTTGGATATTTAATTAACTTTAGCCTCTAGAGCATACACAAGCGATTGTGAATGCCGGACCGCCAGACGGGGACCACAACAATATACAACCACATTTCAATGTGGGCATACAAAAATAGTTTACCTGGAAAGCTCTAAGTAAAGCCATGTGATCACTGTAGGTATCCGATGCAAACTTCCGTCTGGCCATCCCACTCGCTCTCTTCTGATATGGTTGAGCTGGTAGAACAACTGAAAATAAGCATTAAACAGAGGGGGTCATTTCGAGACTAATATACAGTATAATTCAATTTCAATAATTAGCTTGCGGAGGAGTTATTAGTGTGAGGAAACTGACGCAGAGAAAAACCAAAGAGCCTGGAAGGTGATCTTACTTCTTGTCACGTACAAGTATGGGATTGAAACCACACCACTTGACTCAATGACAGACGTTATGATCTTTACAACAGAAGAGAGCGAGAGTATGCGATTTAATGTCCACTCGACACAAACTAGGTCATTTCTGGACTAACATATGGTTCAATTTTATTCCAATAATACGCTTGCGCATAGGGGTCTTTAGCAGTGGGAGGAAACCGGAGGAACCAGAATAAACCCACAAGGTTGGACAGGTGACCCTACTCCTTATCACGTACAACTGGGGAATCAAGACCACGACAGTTGACTAAATGCCAGACCTTATGATACAGCACGCACGCGATAATCATTCGGCCACCCCCCCCCCCTTTACATTAGAACTATACACAGATAGATACTAACTGTATTGCCAATCAGAGTTTATCTCCATTTTTCTAACATTCAAAATAACACAATTATCACCATACTGCATCAAATTACTTGTCAAGTTATTATAGAATTTATAAGTTTACCCACTTGGTACCCCATAGCGTACACGGTTGATACACTGCTGTGTATAGCAGAGTTATAATACTGAATATACTATTCTGATCATGGCCAGTATTCTCATACGGTTGGGGGTGGCAAGACTTATTGGCCATGAAGAAAATGAAATGAATCGAAATGAGGTTTAACGTCCAATTGTTCAGCGCAGGCTGGACTAATGAAGATGGGTCTACGCCATACAGTGTGCTATGAGGGAAACTTTACATGGACAGCAGCGCTACGGCCTAGTCTTATATCGAGTTCCAACTGCAAAGGGTTCCATTATGAGCACGCAAACGTGTACACAGACCCTCAGTTTTTCATCCCATCCTAATGACTAGACATATTTCTTGCCAGGCTCTCCGTCTTGCACCACTGACAAGGGGAAATCACCCTGGAAAATCCTGGGGGACTTTCTAATTCAACACTGTTATCGAACCCCGGACGTCACTAAGCCACAGCAGCTCCTCTTGGTCATCAATGGTTGAATTGTGTATATACATGTAATTAAATACATGAATGGTTGTATTGTGTATATAATTGAATACATGAATTGGTGTATTGTGTATATAACAGAATACTTACATGGATCTTTATAAGCGATAGAACAGACAATAGTTAAAACTGGATCTAGACATTTTAACACCACCGAGAATAAAACCATTTTCCCTAATCTTGGTTCTATCGGTAGATCTGTTAAATGATGACCTAATTCAGTTAAATCTTCAAATGGATCCAATGCATCAATTTGCTGAATAAATTAAATAAATTTAAAATATAGATGTGATGTCATCCTTTGATGTTGGCGTACCATATTTCCAATAATGTACGGGCAACTTGCCAATTGTACATTATCTATACTAGATGAAATATTGGACTCGCATGACATATTTCACTGAAAAGCACGTGCATAATAGTGTCTGTATTTTAAGTTGTTTAATGGTCTCGAGCTAAAGACATTGAGTAATATATTGAAACAACACTCAGCTGATGCCCCTCGTGCAGTATCAATATATTACTTAATGCCTCGCTCTCGACCATTAAACCATATATAATTTACAGTTCATCAGAATCCTCTCAAGTCAATAATTATCAATCATAATCTTTTAGAGGCATTTAGTAACTGGATAGAGCCAATCTGGTTAATGTACAGATCTATATTTTGCTTCGTTTTTTTAATACTTTCGATGGCCTCTACTACATGAAGATCTGACCAGTTGTAGTGGGGTCATACGAGCGGCTTTTGATCCTATGACGTTGGACATTTGATTAACCAATCAGCAATGATATTTCTAGTAGGATACCCACAGTTAAGATGCCAGTGTAGTAAAGACAAGTAAAATGAAATTTTGAACTATGAAAAAAGAAACGAAATAGGATGTGTTTTAATCAGACTGAGATAGAACAATAAACTTTAACACAAACGTGTACTTATGGAAAATCCGCTACTAATTTATTTGGGCAACGTTTTGAAGTGTATTAGCGTGATAATGTTAAGAGAGGGAGAGGGAGAAATGGGGTTTATTGTCCACTCGACACAAACTAGGTCATTTCGGGACTAACATATGGTTTAATTTTATTTACATAATTCGCTTGCGCGTAGGGGTCTTTAGCAGTGGGAGGAAACCGGAGGACCCGGAGAAAACCCACGAGGTTGGACAGGCGACCCTACTCCTTGCCATATACAACCAGGGATTCGAAACCACGCAGTCGACTCAATGACAGACTTTATGATACAGCGCGCGCACGCTAACCATTCAGCCATCCACCCCGCCTAATGTTAAGAGAATAGCAACATTTCTGCATATTCATCAACCAGTTCCAACTGTCAAAGGTTCTTTTACATTCCAACTTTCAAAGGTTCTTTTACATGCATTCCATACCAATTTGAACAAGAGTGTACTTTGATTTCCGTCCTATCCAAATGACTAGATGTTTTTCTTTACCAGGCCCTTCTTCTTGCACAACTGACAAGGGAAAGTTGCCTGAATCGTTCTAATTAGACTGTAATTTACCGTAGTCGCTCAACTGACAAGGGAAAGTTGCCTGAATTGTTTTAATTAGACTGTAATTTACCGTAGTCGTAAGTTACAGTAAATCAGCAAATATATTCAGACTAAAAGAACACAATATATATAGGAAACAATCACTGGTTTATTATATAATTAAATGAAATGAAATGGAGTTTAACATCCAACTGTTCTCTGCTATGAGGGAAATTTTGCCTGGACAGCAGCGCTATGTCCTACTCTTATATCGAATTCCAACTGCCAAGGGATCTTTTACCTGCACGCCAATGTGTACCTCCACTGACAAGGAGGAATCATGCTATAATATAATAAAACTGACGGACTATACCTTTAATATCTGTATGGAATTCTTCACAACTAGAAAAGCTGGGGGTTCTGGGGCTTTGGCAAGAAAATCAGCTATTTCACAATTTGCTGGTGCTAATAATTTAGTATTCAAGCACAATTCCTACAAATAATGAAAAATAATTCATATATTATTAATCTATAATTCATAGAACCAGCCCAAAAAATTCACTCTCGGCAAAGTGATATAAGAAAAGAAAGAACCTTGAGAGGACCCATGGCCAACCACAGACATTTTTTCAAGCTCTTTGAATCTGATCCAGAGAAATATCCATGAGGTTGGACAGGGTATATCCTACTCCTTGTAACATACAAGCAGGAGAATTAAAACCATGCCAGTTGACTCAATGACAGACCTTATACAGTAGATGTTTTTTTTATAAAATGTTTTAAAATGGTCCTACCTGTAACGGAAATCGTAATATTTCTGGTTGTTGATATTCCATTAAATTAGAATAACGAATCCGACTGAACATATGATAACAGATGCCTGGACGACATCTTCCAGCTCTGAAATATAAAATATTAATATTACATTCATAAATTATCATCTTCTAGCCCTTAAATATAAAATATTACATTTATGATGATAACAGATGCCCAGACAACATCTTCCAGTCGTGAAATAGAAAATACTAATATTACATTCATAAAATTATTATCTTCTAGCCCTTAAATATAAAATATTACATTTATGATGATAACAGATGCCAGGATGACATCTTCCAGCCCTGAAATAGAAAATACTAATATTACATTCATAAAATTATTATCTTCTAGCCCTTAAATATAAAATATTACATTTATGATGATAACAGATGCCCGGACGACATCTTCCAGCCGTGAAATAGAAAATATTAATATTACATTTATAAAATTATCATATTCTAGGCCTTAAATATATAATATTACATTTATAATGATAACAGATACGTATACCTGGATGACATCTTCCAACCCCGAAATAGAAAATACTAATATTTCATTCATAAAATTATCATTTTCCAGCTCTTAAAATTAAACTATTATATTTCATCTCATTTTTTATACAGAGTTTATACTTGCATTTTGGTTTTCTATATTATTAAAATTCTTGTTTACAAATAGTTCCTTATATCTGTGACTATTGGTATCAAATTAATCACATGAATTAGCCAATGTGTTGTATTATGGACAATAGAGCAGGAATGTTTCAAAATTTTGGAGTTAACAAAGACTAGATGTGGGTCACTAGAAGTGAAATGAAATGAAATGGGGTTTAACGTCCTACTGTTCTGCTCCGAACTGGGCTATTGAAGACGGGCATACGCCATACAGTGTGCTATGAGAGAAATTTTGCCGGACAGCAGCACTACTGCCTACTCTTATATCGAATTCTAACTGTCAAGGGATCTTTTACGTGCATGCCAATGTGTACATGGGACCTCAGTTTTTCGTCCCATCCAAAATCTGGATGAACTTTCTCGACCAATGCAGGGATCGAACACCCAACCTCCAGGCTAGCGAGCCAGCGTCTTATCCACTTAACCAAGATTAGGCCGATAAGCTGCTTTCATTCCGTGTTAACAGCTTCAACAAAAAACATTTCTTGATAATCTGATACATAACATATCATACCATATTCTGATTTACTAAAAATAGGAATATTTGATTCATATTTTCAATATTTAATTCATTTACTGGCTTCAAATTCATATCAATAATATTACTCAATAATAACATTCTTTATTTATTCGATAAGACACTTGAAAATGAAACTTCTGTGATAAGAATAATGTTTAAAATAACTAATTATCACACTAGCACAGTAACAGGGGAAATAAATAACATACCTTCCCTTCCTCTGCTGACTACTAGCCTTCGATATCCAGTTACTCTTTAGCATGGTTATACCAGACAGGGCATCAAACGTTTTCTGAAATAAACACAAGAATTATATATTCAAACTATCTAACTACATTTCTAAAATAATCATTCTCCACAATTATCTGCAGTATCAAAACAATTTATATATTCAAACTATCAAAAGTTTTCTAAAATAAACAAACAAAAAAACAATTTACATATTCAAACTATCCATATAACTTAATTTTTTTTGTCTAATTTTCATCAGCTTTCAAAACAATCTAATATTTTCCTTTCAATTAAACATTAACTGTTTTTAAGAGAGAGAGAAAGAGAGAGAGAGAGAGAGAGAGAGAGAGATGGGGTTTAACTCGATATTACAAACTAGGTCATTTCGGGACTTACATATGGTTTAATTTTTATTTCAATAATTCGTTTGCGCCTAGGGGTCTTTAGCAGTGGGAGGAAACCGGAGGACCCGGAGAAAACCCACAAGGTTTGACAGGCAACCCTATGTACAACCGGGGAATCGAAACCACGCCAGTTGACTCAATGACCGACCTTATACTGTTTTTAAGGAGAGTCGTGCTACGACCTAATATTCTTTCCATTTTTATATTGTCATGGAATCTTTAGCATGCTGCCAACATAATACACAAGACCTTGATTTCCTGTCCCATCATTGACAGGGATCAAACCAAGGACCTGGGTATCCTTAATAATTTACTCAACTTTAAATCACTGTTTATGAGAAATATCTTTGATCCAGAAACACAAAACTTTGCACATAGTTTCTTATTGATGTATTTGATACATTAAAACAAACCATCGGCTGCCAGGCCACATTTTCGAGAGATGGATAGAGAACAAGCTAACAAGAAAGTGATTTTTCCTACAATCAAGGGCCATAATTCAGGAAATTACAATTCGATATGCGTGAATATCGAAAGGAACCGAGATCTTTGGGTTATAAACTTACATTTCAAGTTTCAACAAAATCGGATAAAAATTGTGACCTCTATAGGGTCCACAACCTTGATATACCATATTTTTACGCTATTTGAGAACGAACGACGGCCATTTTGTCTGTCAATTTTGGGCCGATTTTCACGAAATTCGAACTCAGCCATCCTTAGGGTGTAACGGTGATATAATAATACGTTTTTTTAAATCTGATAAAAATTATGACCTCTATAGGGTCCACAAGCTAAAAACACGATTTTTGGTACAATCAGGGGCCATAATTCAGGAAGTTACGGTCCGATATGCGCGAATATCGAAAAAAACCGAGATCTTTGGATTATCAACTTAGATTTCAAGTTTCAACAAAATCGGATAAAAATTGTGACCTCTATAGTGTCCACAACATTGATATACCATATTTTTACGCTATTTGAGAACGAACGGCGGCCATTTTGTCTGTCAATTTCGGGCCAATTTTCACGAAATTCGAATTCAGCCAACCTTTGGGTGTAACGGTGATATAATTGAACATTTTTTTAAATCGGATAAAAATTATGACCTCTATAGGGTCCACAAGCTAAAAACACGATTTTTGGTACAATCAGGGGCCATAATTCAGGAAGTTACGGTCCGATATGCGCGAATATCGAAAGGAACCGAGATCTTTGGATTATCAACTTAGATTTCAAGTTTCAACAAAATCGGATAAAAATTGTGACCTCTATAGTGTCCACAAGCTAAAAACGTGATTTTTCGTACAAACAGGGGCCATAAGCCATGAAGTTTCGATCCGATACATGCCAATATCGAAAGGAACCAAGATCTTTTGGAGATAAACCTATATTTCAAGTTTCGTCAAAATCGGATAGGAATTGTGACCTGTAGAGTGTCCACGGACGGACGGACGTCCGGACGGACAGGGGCGACGGCATAATACGTCCACATGAAAATGTGGGCGTATAAAAAGGTTTTATAAAGATCTATATTTAAGTTAAAATAAGGTGAACAATTTTGACTAAAATCTTAAACTCTGAGCCAGGACTTGGAGGTCAGTGATGATATGCCTTACTCACTAAGCCACAGTGACTTCAACAACAATGTAAAGACTAGAAACTGTGAGTAAATACAGCACAAGCTAAATATATAACTAGACCTACCTCTTTCACTTTACCACAGTCAACAACATAGACAACATCATTAATAGTAATACTAGTTTCAGCTATATTAGTTGATAAAATCTGTAAATAAAGTTAATAGACATTAAAATATCACCGACAGATAATCTGCTGGCATGGATTCAATTGGACCAAAAATAGGTGATTAGCAGCTTTAATAGTAAGTGCAGGGAGATTGCACCACACATAATTTACACAAAACAAATCTACCGACAAGGCACAATATGCAGAAATCACAAACAAGAGAGAGAGAGAGAGAAATGGGGTTTAACGTCCACTCCACACAAACTAGGTCAATTCGGGACTAACACACGATCCAACTTTATTTCAATAATTAGCTTGCACATAGGGGTCTTTAGCAGTGGGAAGAAACCGGAGGACCCGGAGAAAATTCACATGGTTAGACAGGCGATCCTACTGCTTGTCACGTACAACCAGGGATTTGAAACCACGCCAGTTGACTCAATGACAGACCTTATGATACAGCGCGCACAAGCTAACCATTCGGCCATCCAACCTCCCAAATCACAAACAAACGTACACGTCAAAATAAGTGAATGGATTCGGGGGGCTAGCCACTGCGCTGTACAGTCCCGGGCTTGTAGTGATACAGACTTCACGATGTCCAAGTCTGGAATAAACAACACAGGAAATAAGGCACCGGTCACAGACAATGTCAGGCATTAATTCAGGATTTATCAGGCACAAAACGTCTGATGCAAGTTATTTTGTCAGGCACAAAGTTATCTTTATTTTATCAGTTTTTATTGATATTATTAAAATATGTACAATGAATGCTGTGATGGAAATTACAATGAATAGTGTGTGATGGAATTACAATGGATACTGTGATGGAAATTAAAATGAATACTGTGATGGAAATTACAATGAATATTGTGATGGATAGAAATTACAATGAGTACTTTGTGATGGATATAACAATAAATACTGTGATGGATATAACAATAAATACTGTGTGATGGAAATTACAATGAATACTGTGATGGAAATTACAATGAGTACTGTGTGATGGAAATTACAATGAATAATGTGATGGATAGAAATTACAATGAGTACTGTGTGATGGATAGAAATTACAATGAGTACTGTGATGGATAAAAATTACAATGAATACTGTGATGGAAATAACAATAAATACTGTGTGATGGAAATTAAAATGAATACTGTAATGGAAATTACAATGAAGAGTGTGATGGAAATTATGAATACTGTGATGGAAATTATGAATACCATGATGGAAATTAAAATAAATATTGTGATGGAAATTAAAATGAATGCTGTGATGGAAATTACAATAAATACTGTGATGGAAATTGCAATGAAATACTGTGATGGAAATTACAATAAATACTGTGATGGAAATTACAATAAATACATGAATACTTACAATTTTTCTAACACCTGCGGGAGGTTGTTTAAATACCCGTTTTTGATCGGATGACTGGATGGATGAATGAAGAACATATAAAACATATCTGAAATATAAATCATTTATTTATTTACTATTAATTAAAGATACATTATTGGAGATTAGATAAAGAGCTGGCAGTTCTCACTATAATAGTTAAAAACTAGATAATGTAAAGGGAATTTGCTGAAAATTTCAGTCAAATTGATCCACTCTGAACCAAGATTTTAGCGATTGAATTTTCGGCCTAGTCTCAATCATTATTACTAAAGTCGGTATGCTAAAAAACATAGTCTCGATTATCCATTTCATGATTAAATCATAAATGGAAGTCGAACAACAAATCAGAACCTAATCTAATAAACATTGCAGGCTAGTGATGACATCGGAGTTGATTATGGTCTGGATAAGTTAATTAATGTCTAATTAATAATCTAGATAACATTTCAGGCCTAAAGAAAGACCAGCAATAGACAAATTTAGCTCTTGCATTTAACTATTAACTAATAGTAAGTACAGGAGGACAGCACTACACACAAACAAAAAATATGACAAACCTGCTGATAAGACAAAAATGCTGATAAGACAAAAATGCTGATAAGACAAACTACCACAGACATTGCAAGACATAAACAACAAATATCAAATCAAGTCAATGAATCCCCCGTTGTCAGACATAAGCCTCCACTGCAGTATTCAAGAGCTGACTGTTGATAATGTTAACATTCAAGAACAAATCGTGGAGGTTTTAGCCATTTAGGCAGAATTTCATCCATTGTTCCATGCTAATACAGTAAAAAAATAAATAATTAGATTTAATTTTAAAATGTTGCTGTGAGAGAGAGAGAGAGAAATGTGGTTTAACGTCCACTCGACACAAACTAGGTCATTTCGGGACTAACATATGGTTTAATTTTATTTCAATATTTCGCTTGCGCATAGGGGTAACCCTACTCCTTGCCACGTACAACCGGGGATTCGAAACCACTCCAGTTGACTCAATGACAGGCTTTATGATACAGCGTGCACGTGCTAAAGATAGCAGAATCAGGGCTTACAATTTGTTCTAATCCCTACTAGTAGTTGCGTATATTGTGATTTTCTATTTCAATGACTGAGATCACATACAAGTTCCGTGTTTTTAACAGTAACATCATTTACCTTGATTGTTCAAACTTTTTATCTTCTGAAACTCTATCTCTTAAAGCAACAATATCATCGTAACCAGGTAAAAATACTAATACAGCACCTGTTAATATACAAAAATATCATCGTAACAGATGTAACAGTTTAAATAAAGAACGGTTGCCAGGCAACAAAGTGAGATCGAAATGTGTTTAAAATCCACTGAACACAAATTAGGCCATTTTGGGGCTAACAAATGGTTCAGTTTTATTTCAATGAAACCGGAGAACTTTGAGAAAAACCATGAGGTTGAATAGGCAACACTACTATTGGTCACATACACGCTTGGGCTCGAAACCAGTCACTTGACGCAAAAGAGAGAGAGAGAGAGAGGGAGAGAGAGAGAGTAAATGGGGTTTAATTTCCACTCGACACAAACTACGTCATTTCAGGACTAAAATATGGTTCAATTTTATTTCAATCAGATGATTTGGGGTGATTTTAAATGATTTTTACTAATTTTTAAACAAAGATTTGATATTGAATGAATGTGAAAGAAATTAGTGCTAAATACACAAGATTAAATGATACCGGAGTTGTAGTGCAACATACCTTCTGGTTGTGATGTATGTATTTTATACAATAAAATAGACAATAAATCTATATCAACTTTCTCATCATCAAAACTATGTTGATACGTTTTTAATAATTCTCGATCTTCTGTAGATATAGTTTCATCATTCTTTTGATTGACAGATTCTTCAGTTCCTAACTCTAGAGTCGATCTGAAATACAAACACGTCAATCAATGTTACATTTCACGATTTTTGTGCATCACAGCCTGCTAAAATAAACAAAAATATAATTATACAGATCTTACCCCTACACAAATCAAAACATTTATTATTTGACTTAAATTTAAAGAGAGAGAGAGAGAGAAATGGGGTTTAACGCCCACTCGACACAAGGTCATTTCGGGACTAACATATGGTTCAATTTTATTTCAATAATTCGCTTGCGCGTAGGGGTCTTTAGCAGTGGGAGGAAACCGGATGAGCTGGAGAAAACCCATGAGGTTGGACAGGTGACCCTACTCCTTGTCACGTACAACCGCAGAATCAAAACCATGCCAGTTGACTCAATGACAGACCTTATGATACAGCGTGCACTTGCTAACCATTCGACCATCCAACCTCCCTAAATTTAAAGATGTATTATGCAAGAGCTAAATCTGCCTATTGGCCTCAAATGTTATATAAATTAGTATTTAGACAGTTATTCACATGAAAAGATCTTAATCAACTCTCTATAGCATCGGATGGCCATGATATTCAATGGATTAAATCATAATAATTTAACATAAAAATGGATAATCAAGACTTTATTTTTCTATCATAGCCATGGTACTTGACAATTGTGGAATTTTAATAAAATTTTCAATATATTCATTTTTATTTTCGATATTTATAGATAGAACAGACATCTTTTATTTAAATCTTACATAATGCATCTTTAATCAAAGAAGTTTAGCTCCTTTAAATTATTATAAAATAAACTTACAAGTGACCTTCAAGCATATCCACTATATCATTCTGTTCAAACTTTTTTGACCAATCCAGAGCTGTCCACTCATTTGATGCCTTTATATTAATATTGGCGCCGAGACTTAATAATTTTTCTACAATATTAGAGAATCCTCTACCAGACGCTATCATCAATGGAGTGACACTCGTCTCAGAATGTTTATAATCAACTGGAAGAAAATGTAAAAACAGCAAAGTAAAAGAAAATGCATGAAAAAAAAACACCGACACAGCAGCTATATGCCCAATCTGGTTAAAACACAGATCCTATTTCGTTTTGTTTTTATAGTTCAAAATTTTGTTTTACTTGTCTTTACTACACTTGGATCTGGAAGAGTTGTTATTTAATTTGTGTTCTGAATGGTGTCGAGGATAAGGCAATGAAACGGTCTGTTACAGCGAGCTTTAGGCGTGTTTTTCACAGAACTGTGGGTAATCCACTAGTAACATCAATGCTGATTGGTTAATCAAATGTCTGACGTCATAGGGTCATACGTCGGTCTTTTGACCCCTGGCGTGACCTATCGCTATAACTTGTCAGATCTTCATGTAGTGTAGGCCATAGATATCTATGGTGTAGGCCATCAAAAGTATAAAAAAACAAAACGAAATATAGATCTGTATCTTAATCAGATTGTTATATGCCTTGACAGCACAATCCGAAAGTAAAAGTTGTCCAAATTTCATGGTTACAAGAAATCTGATTTCTATTGTGTTAAAAATCTTCAAGAAATCTGTTAAAAAACTGTCGCTCCCATATCATCATTGCAGATCTAGAGTTTTTGGATGGTTGTGGAATGTTGAATATGTATAGAGTTCCTAATCGCATAACGCCAATGCTTCAAATCAAAAAATTGTAGGTTTCTATTCAATTCACTGTTGACGAGACATTATACCTCATTCCATTTCATAAATTTAGATTGACAAGAGCAAAAAATGAAATGTGGTTTAACATCCTACTGTTCTGCTCCAACTGGACTAATGAAAATGTGTGCTATAAGGGAAATTTTGTCTGGACAGTGGTGCTACGGCCTACTATTATTTCGAATTCCAACTGTCAAGGGTTCTTTAACGTGCAAGTCAATGTGTACACGGGGCATTGGATTTTTGTCCAATCTGAACGATACTCCGTCCTACACCATTGACAAGGGGGTACCAGACCAGAAAATCCCAATGAACTTTCTCGGACAAAGCAGGGATCGAACAGACAAGAGCAAAGCTGCAGTTTGCAAACAAATATGGTGTTATACTTACCACTAACATTTTCACTCAAAATAAGATGGAAGACTTGTGAAAAGAGATCTTCATTTCCTGTTAACCACAATTCCCCTAATAATCTGTCCATTTCCTGTATCACCCAATCTTCTAACTCATCACATTCTTGTCCTAACTAACAGACCACAATAAAACACTAATAATATCTACTTTCACTTGTAAATTCATTTGGTAATATGGGACTAACACATGTATACACTATAAAAATAAAATGAAATGGGGTTTAACGTCCTACGTGCATACACCATACAGAGTGCTACGAGTGAAAATTTGCCTTGACAGCGGCACCGCGACCTACTCTTAAATCAAACTCCAAATTGACATGAGGAATGTGTAAATAAGGGACTACCAATAAAACAAAATATACTACTTTCAATTTCATTTGGTATCTACTAAATGTAACTACCTTGGCAAATGTGAAACAAAGCAACTTATATGAGAAGATTTAAACCTGATGACAACTAAATTACAAATTAAACGTCTTCAAACAACATATCTGAGAAATTTAGATGGCCACAATATAGTTTGTTTTAACTCCATGTAAGGAGTGGACGTGGTTCTTCTTTTATAAATAAATAACAATATTGCTAATTACAAGACTTGCTTTAACATGAGATATTTTCAAATGGTCTGCTTTTTATTACATTATGAATTGAATTCAGTATAAAATCTTACAAAATGAACCAACAACTTTAAAAGATTTTTTACAACATAAGACCTGTTCGAATGTGCTACTTTTCACCAATAAAAATGTTAAAAAATAAAGAAGAACTTACTTCTAGTTGTTGTTCATCTAAGTGAGTATTAGTGTTGATGTCTATAGCACTATCTGTCACTGATGTTGTTGATGGTTTATCATCGTTTATCATCTCATGATGACACCATTCACTTAATTGTTCTTGCTGTTTCTCAACTAATTATAAACATAGAAACAGCAATATAGAAACATCCACATATAAAACAGCAATATAGAACATAAAACATCTGCATAGAAACAACCGAATAGAAACAACCATATAGAAACTTCTGTATAGAAACAACCACACAGAAACATCCATATACAAACAACCATATAGAAACAACCAAATAAAAACAACCATATAGAAACAGGAAAGAATTGCTTGGTGCATTTGAAACTGTACATCAATCACAATGTATGCAGCAGCAGTAGGCAAGGCAATCTCTTGTGGAGCCTCTTTATATTATCAATTTTCATCTTTTCTGATGTTCAGGTTAAATTTTTTCTGTTGATTGTGCTCTTTATACAGGACATACTCCAAATCACGGATTTCATCGGGAGAGAGAGAGAAATGGGGTTTAATGTCCACTCTACACAAACTGGGACATTTCGGGACTAACACATGGTTCAATTTTTTTATTTCAATAATTCACTTGCGCGTAGGGGTCTTTAACAGTGGGAGGAAACCAGAGGACCCGGAGAAAACCCACAAGGTTGGATTTTGTTGGGGAAAACACATCATTCTAGTGCTGCCACTGAATACACTGGGGGTACTCGATTTTCAGGTAGTGTGAGTAGAATCGTGATGTAATTTAACACAATGAATATGGTTCAGCTGCCATGGTTGATTGAGGTATTTTCTTATGCAGTCGGCGAAAACCAACTTTTCAATCGGTTGTCACTATGTCAGGTATTGAGAGAATTCAATTTCAAAAGGTTCAATCGAGTGTCCATAAAGTCTTTACCAAATTCATTACACACAATCATATTTTGTACCTAAAGAATATCAGAGGGTGAACACCATATTTACAAGAATTAAAATTAGCATACCTTTGTATTGTTCTTTTTTAAACTTTAACATTTTCTTGTTGGAATATTCAGTCCTACAAAATAAAAACAAATGTTATATAAATTATTATTTAGATATTTATGAACATACAAAGCCCATAATCAACTCTCTAGACAATCCGATTGGCCATGATATTGAATGGATTGGAACACCTGCACCTTTTAATAATTCAACTTTAAAATAGATAATCGAGACATTGTTTCTTATAGTAGCAGTAGTACTTGACATTCGAGACTATTTATATTAAATCATGTCAAAACTTTAAACATGCATAACTTCGAACAGAATAAAGTGATTTGACTGAAATTTTTTGAATAGGATCATTTTTCATTATCTATTTTTGAACTATTATATCGAAAAAGTCCAGCTCTTTATCTAAATCTTACATAATGCATCTTTAAATATCAAATTTATTCAGTTCTCTTACAAAGCCCAATGTGTTTCATTTTTAAAATTAAATTCTATAATGCGTCTAGCCTATAATTATCTATTGAAAAAAGAGGATCGATGATACAGAATTTTTTTTATTGAAATTCCAAAACAAGCCAGAAATACTAACCATTTTAATATATCTTCTAAGAAAAACTCTTGCACATCAAATAACGTACCAGGTACTGAAATACGGCAATATTAAAAATAAGAAATGGGTTTAAAATGTTCTGTGGTCAAGACAAATGATTTAACTAGAATATCCAGGGTTTGAATTCTAGATTGAAAATGACTCAAATATACAAAAACAAAATGAAATGGAGTTCAACGTCCTACTGTTCTATTCCGAATGGGCTAATGAAGACGATTGTACAAAGCAAGACTTAATAGCAACCAAAATTAGCAATTTGATTAAAACACAGTTCCTATTTCGTTTCTTTCACAACAGGATCGTTAAGAGTTGTTAAAAAAAACCTGTTCTGGTTGATGGGAGGGATTAGCCCATATCTATGCCATGTCTCTTATTTTGCTAGAGGTAAATGAGAGCTGATTTCTTGTCAAATGGATAACTTTATCCAAACTGTAGATAAATCTACCCACTAAATAAATATTATGGAAAAGTTTAGATAAGAAATAATTCAACATTCATGCTTTAAATTCATTCAAAACAGCATAGATTTTTGCAACCAGGAATTAAGACGGGGAAAGACATCATTAACATTAAACATACATTATGCAAGAGCTAAATCTGCCTATTGCAGTTCTTTCTTTAGGTCTTTAGGCCAGAAATGTTATCTAAATTATTAATTAGACATTTATCAACTTGAAAAGATCTTAATCAACTCTCGATACCATATTATGTGTCAGATTTTCATTGGATTTGAATCCGATCTACTGCTCAACACTCACTGATGATTAAATCCAAAAATGGATAATCGAGACTATGCTTTTCATCGTACTGACTTAAGTTATGATGATCGAGGATAGTCTAAAATTCAAAATCTAATATCTTTGTTCAGAGTGCAGCAATTTGACTGAAATTTTCAGCATATTCTATTTACGTTACCTATTTTTTTATTATTATAGCGAGAACTATCAACTTTTTATCTAATCTCCCCTTTAAGCTTAAGCAGGTTTGTAATCGAAACTATTTTCTTGAAAGTTTATAAACAATGTGGATTCATGTTTGTTACGATTTTATTATCATAACAAACATGATTGTATTCAAGAAAGATACTGGGTATTACAGTGCTTGATAACGATAAGAAGATACATCGTGCTTTTAGAATAAAACCAGTGATTGCTTACCATATAAAATGTGTTCTGTTAATATTTTATTGATTTGGATAATGAGATTTAGGAGGAGTCAGGGTGGTCACAAAGCTGGTGACAAGTTATGTTTCTATACTCACAGAAGTAGATCTTTATACTTACTTAACACTATAGGACACCTATTAAAATACTGTAGAAATAAATCAGTATTTAATGTAGCACTCATTAGAACTAGACTTACTTAACGCTATAGGACACCGATTAAAATACTGTAGGAATAAATCAGTGTTTAATGTAGCGCTCATTAGAACTAGACTTACTTAACGCTATAGGACACCGATTAAAATACTGTAGAAATAAATCAGTGTTTAATGTAGCGCTCATTAGAACTAGACTTACTTAACGCTATAGGACACCGATTAAAATACTGTAGGAATAAATCAGTATTTAACGTAGCACTCATTAGAACTAGACGTAGATTTTTATATTTGACTAAAGCATCACGTAGAACGATTAGCAGGAAATCACTGAATCTGTCTCGTTCATGAACTTCATCGACGAGTATGTGAGTGACAGCTGTCAGGGAAGAGTCACCTCCCATTAGTGTTCGTAGCAACACACCATTTGTACAGAAAGTCAGCAATGTCTTTGGTGAAACTCTGAAATGAAGTAAACATAACTGTTTATAAGTTTAACCTTCACTCGACATAAACTAGGTCATTTCGGGACTAACATATGGTTCAATTTTATTTGACTAATTTGCTATAGTTTAGGTGGACTCGAAAAAACCCTTTGTATATTTAAAATATCTGTTTACACGATTTATACATAAGTTGCCAGGCAATGAAACATACAGCCACAGCAGCTACATTGTCTGAGTAGTCCATAAAGGCTGCTACATTTTTATTGTTTTGTAGGTTATGGGAGCATTTACAAAACACTAAAAGCTGCAATCTGTTTCACAGAGAATTACGAGTAGTAATATCTCTGTCAAAGATGACTGCCTTAACACGTGCCGTCACAGCATGCGGGGTCAATCATTGGTTGAATGGCGCATGCATTGTTTACATAAGATAATACTGCTTTGGGCGGAATGCTGCCTTTTAGTCATTTTAATACCCATTTACACTAAATAGGAAATAATTTTTACCTACAAATACGTCAAACACCTTTATTTATTTTTCCAATAAATAAAAAAAATGTTTTAGAATTTAATTTGTTGCACGAAAAAAGTTAATATTTCTGGCTCATTAAGTCGCATCGATGTCATCTTTATCAGTGATTGTAGCGGCCTAGCAAAAATTCACTGCTGATCAGTGTGTAAAAGCTGAAGGCCACAACTGATTCACAGAGAGAGAAGGATATGGGGTTTAACATCCACTAAACACAAACTTGGTCAATTTTATTTCAATTCTTTTCTGCATAGGGATCTTAAGCTGTGGGAGAAAACCTACAGGTGATGCCACTCATTGTCACATACAAGTGTGGGATCTAAACCGCTTGACTCAATGACAGAGCTTGTCGGTCGTGGATCAGCCATTTTTAATAACTTCTGCATTGTCTTTGTTTGATTATTACAAATGATGGTCAAAACAATTATGTCCATAGAGAACACGACCTGGCTTAGTGATTTTAAAATGTTCATTGTGTCTTAAATATTGCTTATAATAAGGACCAGAGGTTGCAGTCACGCAAAAATCCGCATATTTTACGCATTTTTTTCAAAATAAACGCAAATATTGATGGACGCTGCGTAATTTACACGCAGAAAATTTCCCCGACCTGAGAATAATTAGATTATTCTATGTCGTAGTTTGTACAATTTATGTGCTTCACCCAGCATTTACACACCTCTACTGTACGTAGTCTCCGTAGTTTTTTATATTTCCTCTTATTTCACTCATAAGTTCATTGCAGTAAGCCTACGTAGCTATCCTATTGGAAGCAATAAAGCGCATTTCATACAAGACTTGGGATTGGCTAGAACAAGATATACTGTTTACATTCAGCCAATCAAATGTTGGCTTTTATAGCGATAGTTTTCTCTTTACGTCCTGCCGAAGTGAAAGATTGAAATAACTGTGCCGTCAACCATGGACATGCCGTTAACCTCCAGTTGTCATTAGACTAAATACAGTAGGCATATCAATGAAATAAGGACGCTTAAAATAGGGTTGTTCACAAAACGACTTTACATGCTTCTATATTGAGTATTTTGAAAGGCTCTTCACGCAGATGTAGAGGGCAAAAACGCAAAATTGATTCACTGCGACCTCTGATAAGGACCCCTATTTTCACGGCAAGATAACATCAATATTTCTTTAAATTGACCATTTTTGAATTATAACACATTTTTTTAATTTCCAATATTATGTATAAAATTGAGTTACAGGTTAAGCTGCTTTAAAAGTCTAATTTATGAACTTACTTGCTTTCTAGTCTGATCTGATAACCGATAGTTTGACCTATTTTTTCTCCACGTTCCGCGGCAACTCGTTCAGCTATAGACAAGGCTGCTATACGTCTGGGCTGGGTACAGAATATTCTACAGGGTTTACTGTTAGCAAAACAATCGTCTAATATCATCTGGGGTACCTGCATTTTACACAAATTATGAACTCAAGGGAAATATAATACACATTAACTTTGTAATGTGAGAGAGAGGGGGGGGGGGGAAGAAAGAGAGAGACAGAGAGAAGGGGGGGGGCAGTAAATACCACTCAACACAAACTAGGTCATTTTTTGACTTAACATATTATTTCAATAATTGGTTTAAGCCTAGTGATCTTTCATCAGTGTTAGGAAACCAGGAGAAAAACGCTTATTCTTGCCACACACAAGATTGGGATTGGAACCAAAAACAGTTGACTCTGTGAAAGAACTTATGTGTATGATCTAAAGTGCATGATAAACCGCTTTAAGACGCTATATGATATCTAACTAACCTGACAGAACAGCATCAAGTCCTTCAGCATTGTCAGAGGTGCATGACAGAACAGTGTCAAGTGCATGACAGAACAGTGTCAAGTGCATGACAGAACAGTGTCAAGTCGTTCAGAAGGGATGAAAAACAGAGGTCTCTTGAACACATTGTCATGTACACTATAGAACCCATGACAGTTAGTATTCCAAGAGGAGTAGGAGGAAATGTCACTAGATACCTGTACAACTTACCTGTGTTGTTTTACCTGATCCTGTCTCACTCGATACGAGAACCACCTGATTATGATTAATCGTATGTATAATATCTTCTTGATATTCCTGTATCGGTAAACTTTCACGGAAACTATTCAGATCAGAGTTACCTCTCTGTGGGGGTATCTGTGGGACACCATTATTTAATCGGCCTGTGGTCGTCTTGTAGTTCAGATCCTTGATAACTAAAATACAAATTTTCTAAATAAAAATAAGAAGAATTTGAATGCAAGAGGGAGAGAGAGAGAGAGAGAGAGAGAGAGAGAGAGAGTTTAACGTCCACTCGACACAAACTATGTCATTTCGGGACTAACACATGATTCAATTTTATTTCAATAATTCGCTTGGGAGAAAGAGATCTTTAGCAGTAGGAGAAAACCGAAGGACTCAGAGAAAACCAACGAGGTTGGACAGGCGATCCTACTCCTGGTCATGCACAACCGGGGAATCAAAACGACGTCAGTTGGCTCAATGTGCTAACCATTCGGCCACCCAACCCCCTGAATTTGAATGCAGACATCATAAGGCACAAATTAAAGCACAATCCCTATGGTGGCTAGCATAGATTTTGTCTTTTATCAGAGTTTTAAATGTCCAGAACAAAACTTCATAATGTCAGGTAGAAATCATTATTTCTAGTCTCCAAGAATCTTTTAAATAGCATCTATAATTAAACTGAAATGAAAAGGGGGTTTAACGTCATACTGTTCAGCACCGACTAGGCTAATGAAGGTAGGTATAGGCCATGCAGTCAGCTATGAGAGTAATTTTGCCTGGACAGCGGCACTATGGCCTACTCTTTTTTTGAATTCCAACTGTCAAGGGTTTTTTTTACGTGCACACCAATATGTACATATGACCTCCTGGTTAGTGAGCCAATGTCTTACTCACTGAGCCACTGTGGCTCCCTGTAATTGAACAGGAAATAGATAGGAAATGGAACTATGTAATACAATTATTATTTATTACTGAGCAATGTTTCAAGTAGGCTTCTCTAGTCTTTATCTAGGCGTCGCTCAGAAATGAAATGAATTGGGGTTTAACGTCCTACTGTTCTGCTCCTATTCCTAAACTGGGCTAATAAAGACGGGCATACGCCGTACACTGTGCTATGAAGGAAATTTTGCCCGGGCAGCGGCACTATGGCCTACTCTTATATCGAATCCAACTGCCAAGGGATCTTTTACGTGCATGCCAATGTATACACAGGACCTCGATTTTTCGTCCCATCCGAACAACTAGACAGCTGTCCTTGTCAGGTCCTCCGTCCTGCACCACTGACAAGAGAAAATCACTTCAGAAAATCCCAATGAAACAGGAAATGAAACTATATAATACAATTACTGTTTATTTCTGAGCAATATTTCGAGTAGGCTTCTCTAGTCATTATCTAGGCGTCGCTCAGAATTATGACCTGTGTAACTGATAAAGACTAGAGAAGACTAGTGGAAAGGTCGCTTAGTAATGAGTAGTAATTGTAATTTTTATTCCCTAGAACTGTGTCCTATGTTTTTTTTACAAAATACTTACTTTCATTAACTGTTGACTTGTGTGTTTTAGGCTGTAGTTCTTGTCTTTCTTTGTTAGTCAGAGGAAAACGCTGCATCAAACTTAATATCTGATGTCGTGAGTTTCTGGCTAACTGAAACGTGACTGATGTACCAGATGATTGGTTACCTTCTTTCTTGTAAATTGTCAGACATCTTGAGGCACCTTTACTATTAAAAAAACAAAACAAAGAAAGCTCATTCATCATCCTTAATACCAAAACCAACTCCAATTTGTTTCCATGGTTTTTTATTTAATCTCAGGAGGTTTAAGAGAGAGAGAGAGAGAGAGAGAGAGAGAGAGAGAGATGAGATTTAACATCCACTTGACACAAACTAGGTCATTCTGGGACTAGAGAGAGAGAGAGAGAAATTGGGTTTAACGTCCACTCGATACAAACTAGGTTATTTTGGGACTAACATATGGTTTAATTTTATTGCGCGTAGGGGTCTTTAGCAGTGGGAGGAAACCGGAGGACCTGCAGAAAACCCACGAGGTTGGACAGCGACCCTACTCCTTGTCACATACAACCGGGGAATTGAAACCCCGCCAGTTGACTCATTGACAGACCGTATGATACAGAGCGCGCGTGCTAACCATTCGGCCATCCCCCCCCCCCAAAAAAATTTTGGGACTAATATATGGTTTAATTTTTTATTTCAATAATTGCCTTGCACGTATGGGTCTTTTAGCAGTGGGAGGAAACCGGAGGATCTGGAGAAAACCCACGAGGTTGGACAGGCGACCCTACTCCTTATCAAGTACAACCGGGAATTCGGAGGTTTATGAAGCAAAAGGCATAACCGGTAGAACAAAACAAAATGAGGAAAGAAACAAAATTGGAACGAAAATATGGATGGAGCCTATTTCAATATCCCTCCCTTAGCTTTGCTCAGCATGATGAAACAGATTTTGATAAAATAAAGGATTTGAAGCAAGGGGGGTGCTCGATTCGGAACGTTCAATCGAGTATATCCCCTTGGTGTTTTCATATAAAGGGAGAGAACTACCTTGTTTAAACACATAATTTGTCTGCATTGTATTTATTTATAGAGTGATGCCCTGGGGTATCATATTTATATAGGGTTAAAAATTCAAAAACTTAAACTAAAATAAAAAGAAAAACACATACTTATGGAAAATAGCTACTACTACAGTAGTCTCTCATTGTTTTCAGCTTAATAAAGTTGAGAGAATACACCTTGAAACATTGCCTTAAATACATTATTAGCTGTTTTCCATACATACTGTAGTGTTTTTAGTTACAAAATGACATTTAAAGATTATTATATAAACTAAAATATTTTAAGAATTCAGCCAATAAAAAAGCCTTACATCCTTAAAACATTTAAGTTTAAATCTAAATTAATCCCCTGTACACAGGGAGCAAACCCACAACCTCCAGGCTAGCGAGCCAGCATCTTACTAATTTAGCCACCGTTGCTTCATTTGAATTAAACCCCAGCGAACCCATGAAATCCAGGCTAGTGAGCCAGCGTCTTACTCACTATTAGCCACAGTTGTTCCATGCAAATTAAACCTCAGTACTGTTGGAATAAATTGTAAATACAAAAAAGAAATACCCATGACTCTTAGACTTGAGATTATAATCTTCACACAATCTGTGGATATAAGCTCTCTCTGTAGCTGTTAAAGATGATGGAAACTCTAACTCTGAAACAAAAGAAATGAAATGGAGTTTAACGTCCTACTGTTCTGCATCGACAGGGGTAATAAAGACAGTAACCCTGAAACTACAAAACATGGTTATCAATCTTGTGCGATTAACCAGCTCTGTCTTAATATTTGGTTTCATATTTCAACTAACCTCCCAAGAATAATAATGTAGACCAACAACAAATAAAAGAGGCGGCTATTATTACCTTTCTGTTCAGGATTGAGCCTGAATCTTTCAAATGCTAAATGTATCCCAATCTTGACCTCTTCACCGATACAGACTGGCTGATTTGGTCTTGGTCCACGCGTTGGATCATTCATGCTCGAATAACTACTTCCACTTGAGGGTCGAGGAGAACTGTTATCATTATTCCTGGAAAAGATAAAAAAAATACAATAGAATACAATTTCAAATGTTTATTGATGAGGTTCTTATGACTAATGAAATGAAATGAGGTTTAACATTTTACTTTTCTGCACCAACTGGGATAATGATGACAGGGCATACACCACCAGGCTAATAAATATAAGAGAGAGAAAAATGGGGTCTAACGTCCACTTGACACAAATTAGGTAATTTCGAGACAATAATAAATAAGAGCAATGCCATGCAGTGTGTTGAAGAAAGAATTCTTGCCTAGACGGTGGCCGTCTGCGGCCTACTTTTATTCCAGTCTCAATCGGTCAGAGAGAGATAGAGAGTGGGATTAATGTCCACTCAACACCAACTAGGTCATTTCGGGACAAACATATGGTTCAATTTTATGTGAGGAAACTGGAGAAAACCCACGAGGCTGGACACACGACCACGTACCCCTTGTCACGTTCAAGCGGGAATCAAAACATGCAACTTGACTCTATGACAGATATTATGATTTCACATGCAAGTAGTCAATACAAGACTGTACTACATTTTATTCTGTAAGAGTACAGTGTTGTAATTTTACTGATGACCGTAAAAATTTGGTGTCTATTTAACGGGGGCCCCGCTTAAACGACCGGTACTGTAACAGACCAAACCTAACCAAACTACACCACACCAATGTTTCCGTAATCCGTATTACTACGCCGGCATAGATTTCACCGTCTGCAGATCGGTCTTCTTTTTTCAACTACAGTAAAGCAAGCTCACAGAATTGAATTACGGTAACAGGCTTACTATTTTGTATTTACAGACATTCTCGGGAAAAGAAAATACAACAACAGTCAGTAATTAAATTTGATTTTGAACTCAGACTGCAGGTGTTGGATAGTAAGAAAATCCCTGACAATTATATTGGAAGAGCTTATTCAATATCCTAGAAATTACAATGGCCGACAGGCCAAAGCCGACAAATGACAATTTCTGGGAATACCAATTTCTGATAATCCTACTTTCGATTTGTTTTGCTGAACAACAGAAAAAAATATGCTACGGTCGAGACGCTGTTATTTAACTTTTTAACACGCGATGCATTGAGTGAAACCTCAGATAGAAGTAAAATCTATTCTAAATGTTGACATCCTTGATTTTATAAGTATTCACCTATGAGATCCATAGTTATTGGAACCAGACATTGGCAAAGGGGATCCATGATTTTGATTCCCTGTAGAGCCCTGTCGATTAAAATATCGACCCCGCGCTGCCATTTTGTGCGATTAACCAGCTCTGTCTTAATATTTGGTTGCGTATTTCAACTAACTTCCCAAGAACAGAAGTACACTTTGACAAAATACTTTGTTTGAATTTGAAAACACGAAAACTATGCATGCCGTATGTTAGAAATAAAAATCTAGGACGATGTGATGGAAATTCTGGGAATACGAAAATTTTGCAAATATATTTTCTCTTCTGGATTACTTCCCTTGTTGAATTTCTTTAAAGTTTTATTATGAAATTGAAATTGGGTTTATTTTGTTTATTAAACCGTGTTCCATGTTGAGTAAAATACAGATCTTAACAAAATACATTGATAAACAAGAACAAATTAGTAAGTAGGCCTGCAAACATTTATAATTAGTTTTTAGTAACTAGTCAGTACGTTTGGGGCGAGAAGAAATGTTTTGTGTTTGTTTATTTTTTTGTTGTTGTTAAGTTAAGTACAAGGTTTCAAAGAGGAGTAGAATTAGAGTCTACCACCAGATGTATTTTGTTGAATAGAAGTGGTTAATTCGGGTATCACTAGTCTTAGTGTTGCCAACCTTTTTCCCATTCCTCGGCAATTAACTTGCACTGGAAGATCTGTTACAAGTAGAAGTTTATTGTATAGTAGGCCTATTATACTACTTACATCATGTATACTACTTACATGTAGTAGCAGGGGCGTACATAACGATTTTGTTTGGGGGGGTGTTTAGCCAAAATGCGACCGACTGATGCCCATACCCCTACGAGTGACGCAGTCAGGAGCCGAGCACCACAGGTGCGAGTTTTGAGGGGCCATGTGCAGTAGCGGATCTAGATAGGGGTGAGGGGGTCCAAATCTAGGGCGCCACCCCAGCCACAATTCCACCCCACAATGAATATCAACAAAATACTGGCTATAACATTAAGCGTCCCGGTAGAACATAGGTGGTATTATTTAATTATATCGGTGTTTGCCGATCGTTGTCTAGCTGGAAAGCAGTTTTATTTAAGTTGACATAAAGTTTATGTCATATATGATTGTGCCTATAACACTGAGCAACCTGAGAAAATTTTGAAATATTGAGTCAATATCTTGGCATTTGAGGTCATTGCTTGGAGAAATTCTTGTGGACGAGAGGACCAGAAATGTGAGTCAATTAGACAAAATCTCGAGATCTGCCCCTGTCAATTCCGCCTGTTTTGCAAGAGTTGACAGAACTTTTGTATAGTCTGACACCCCACGACCCACACACCAGTGCCAGTGGTACTACTAACATAACTAGTCAGTTCAGTATAACCGTGAATATGATAGTGCTGAGACAGTATAAGACAACAGAGGAGTAGAAGAATGACGTTATAATGGAATCGAGCGCCGCAGGCGCGAAAAAATTTCAGATGTGTAACCGAGCTTTTAATTTTTGGTATTGGGCCTGACAATTTTAATCAATGTCATGGCAAATGGATCCAAATTCTCGTTAACGAGAGGATAAGAAATGGGACAGAATCTTGAGGCCTATCTGTCAATGTCGCCTGTTTTGTGAGAGTAGAACTAACAATTCTACAGTCTTTTGCCCACGACTCACTCACTAGTGGTACTACTAACTGGGCGATTTACTGTAACTGTGAATATGATAGTGATGAGATAGTATAAGACAGAGAAGGAGTTGAAGAATGATGGCATAATGGAATTGAGCGCCGATATGTAACTGAGCTTTTAATTTTTGAGGACTGGGCCTGAGGGCACTTTACCTCAATGGGGCGCTTACTTGGTCTCTGAAATGCCCTGGACTTTGGGGAGTGATTTTGCAGAATTCTGATGGTCAGAAAACACCCCATTAATTCATTTAGTCTGAGACCGACTGCGGTGAGCACTTTTTTTTTAGACCGACTATTTCTTTGCCATGGGGTGAAAAACATTTTATTCAAACATGATAAGTTGACAAGGTTATTTTATACTAAAGTTTTGCGTGAGTAGAGTGACGTATGCAGTGAGCACTTATTTTGATACCGACTGCTCATATATCTTACGACCGACTGCACTGATTTTGCGACCGACTAGTATTTGGGATCTATTCTGGCATTATTTGTTTACCTCATTAATTCATTAAGACGGCGATGCATAATTTTGAGACCGACTGCAGTGACTGCACTTATTTTGAGACCGACTATTTTTCTACCTGGGGGAAATTTTGTTCTTAGACCTACATACTCACAACAGAATAAGAGTTAAACACATCATTTTTTCAAACATGATAAGTTGACAAGGTTATTTTATACTAAAGTTTTGCGTCAGTAGCGTAACGTGTGCAGTGAGCACTTATTTTGATACCGACTGCTCTTATTTTGCGACCGACTGCACTGATTTTGCGACCGACTATTTTTTTTCCTGGGGGAGTGTACCACCCCACCACACACCCCCATATTTACGCCCCTGTGTAGTAGCCCATATATTCAGTGCCAGCACCAGTATATTTCTTGTGACAGGAAACCAGAGTAAATCCATGAGGTTGAGAAGGCGCCCTTACCTCCAAGCCACATGAGCTCGCACCAGGGATGGAAACCACAACTGCAAGCCAGAGGTGACCAGCTGGCTAGTTTTCAAAGCACATCACTCTAGAGCAAGGGCATTGCAAGTACATGTATTGAAATAAAATTGTGCTATGTTAGTCCTGGAGGGACATTTTGTCAAGACAAGAATTGAATTCCAAATATCAAGGTTCTTTTACATGCAAGGTAAAAATGTAGGCTCAGGACCTCGGTTTTCGTCCCATCCTCCATTATTAGCATCACTGACTAGGGAAATCCTGAGAAACTTTTCTGTCCAACACCTGGATAGACTAAGGCCTTTGAAATATCAAAGGCTTTTTTTTTGTAAAGAAGGCCTATAGCTTTATTATATGTGCATGTATGCTACTATTACTAAATAACTAATAATATGTTAACTAATAATATGTTATATTATTACAGTTTGAAGGAGATCTGTAAAGTTGATCAGTTAAAATGCCTATGGAGGACAAACACAATATTCCAGATAGTCAAGTAAGTATTTGACAGACAGTTTTTATAAAGTAGGCCTATAAATGTAGGCTTTTGACCTCAAGGCATATTTAGTTACAGTATTCAGATTTCAATCAAATTTAGATTAACTTCATTCTTTAGGAGAATTTATAAGACCAAGTTCTTTCTAGAGCAGATTTTATGCATAGATTTTGATTCTGGTTGGTGATCGGGCGTTGGGGTGGAAATGTGTTAAAATTCATATAATGGATCCATTACAAATTATTGGTGTGATTCAAGCCTCCTCATCCCCGACTCCCCATTACCTGTAGACTTGAAGTAAATAACAGTGTACGTACATGAACATATTTTATTTCATTACAGAAAAATACTTTGGCAGAATTACTTCCAGCAGACCCAACGCCTCCAGAGATGCCGATAATAGCTTCCCATCCTTTCGATGATAAACCTCCGAGTGCTGGCCCACCATCATCCGTACCCACCAGCAGTCCCATGGGCCATCGGCCAGGCATGGGTCAAAATACAATGGCTGGTAAAGTTTACCCTCCGAATCAACCAATGGTATTCAATCCATCCAACCCAAACGCTCCTCCAATATACCCGTGTGGAATATGTCATAAAGAAGTCCATGAAAATGATCACGCCATATTATGCGAGAGTGGTTGTAATTTCTGGTTTCATCGTGCGTGTACAGGACTAACGGAACCAGCCTTCACGATGTTAACTCAAGAGATTTATGCTGAGTGGGTTTGTGATAAATGTTTGAACACTAAAAGTATCCCGCTTGTCAAGTTAAAACCATGATTTATCAAAAAAATAATATTTTAAATCTGAGGAACTCTTTACAAAAATGTCAGATTTGGGGATAAACATCAGATGTTTTTCCGCGGAAAGCCCCAAGACCGTAAAAACTTTGTTTGTGATTTTGCAAATAATGAACTGAAATAAAATGAGTGTCCAACTTTTCTCAGCACCACTTTTGTAAATAATTGCTGTTGAAGGTGGCCAGGCATTTATCACTTTGAAAATGAGTTTTTCTGTTTTATTAAAAGCATAATAATGTTCATATAGGGCTGTGTTAGGGCTAACCATATAGCAGTTGAGTTTAATCATAAAGCTACATGTACATTATGTAAGATTTACATAAAGAGAAAATTTCATTGAAATTACTCTATTCTGGTTAAGTTATGAGTGTCTGAAGTTTTGACAAAGATAGTCTTGGTTGTCAAGTACTATTGCTAATATAATAAACGTCTTAATTATCCCTATTAACATTAATTTATTATGTGGCATGCATGTTGTAATACCCTAAATATCACAGCCAACCAATGGCTTAGAGAGTTTTATATGGTCTTGTGTTAATAAATGTCTAATTAATTATTTCCATTTTACTCCACTAACCCCTGGGTCCATTCACAGGGTTTTCACGAACTCAAATTATCTGCCCTTGATCGTAGGTTGATTCTACGAACCAATCAGAAAACAGTTTAGAAACCAATCTTAGCGTCATTGTTTACATCCACCACAGGGATCTTAGTTGCAATAAAATGTCAGTTTCTTCCCTTCGTCCGCTCGATTTGTCGATAAAAACAGCACAAATATCAAGGGCGGATAATTTGACTATGTGTCTTCCCCCATGAATGGAACCAGATGTTAGTGGAGTACATGTAGAACTGAACGATACCACTGGGGATACCGAGAATGTAAAAACAAAGATGCAATAGGAAGATTTAGCTCTAAAATAATGTATCTTTGATTATACCAGACAATATGACGTTTGTGTCAGATTTGAATTAATATTATTAAAATCACTGATGAAAGACAATCTGTGTCAGGTAGCGGAGTAATAGAGACAATCTGTGCCAGGTAGCGGAGGAATAGTGTCTGATATAACCTGAATTTCTGCCTGACAATGTCTGTGACAGGTGCCTCATTTGTGAGGCCACAATTCTACTTATTGATTGTATTAATGTTAGGAAATTAAAACCCTTTTTATGAATATGTATAACATACCTATGAATATGTATAACATACATATGAATATGTAACAGGTGCTTTATTTCAAGGGTGGGGTGGATGGCTGAATGGTTAACACATGCGCCCTGTATCATAAAACCTGTCATTGAGTCAACTGGTGTGGTTTCGAATCCCCAGTTGTACATGACAAGGAGTAGGGTCGACTGTCCAACCTCATGGGTTTTCTCCAGGTCCTCCTACTGCTAAGGACCCCTACGCACAAGCAAATTATGGAAATAAAATTAAACCATATGTTAGTCCCGAAATGACCTAGTTTGTGTCGAGTGGACGTTAAATCCCATTTCTCTCTCTCTTTTATTTCAAGGCTTGCCTACATCAGTTGTAGGCCCAGTTCTACTTATTGATGATATTATTATCAAGTGCATGTTAGGAATTTAAAAACCGATTTATGAATATGTATATAGCATTCATTCAAAAATACTCATCTAACCATCATTCAAATTATTATGCATATTCATGTTCATTGTTGTTATTGCAATATGTATGATAAAAATGTAATACCCATTTGTTTATCATGTTTTAATGACTTTAATAGAATATTTCTGATTAGCATCTGTTTGTTTATCATGTTATAATAACTTGATTGGAATATTTCTGATTATCATCCATTTGTTTATCATGTTATAATAACTTTATTGGAATATTTCTCATTAGCATCCATTTGTTTATCATGTTATAATAACTTTATTAGAATATTTCTGATTATCATCCTTTTGTTTATCATGTTATAATGACTTCAATAGAATATTTCTGATTAGCATCCATTTGTTTATCATGTAATAATAACTTGATTTGGAATATGTATGATAAAAATAGAGTGTCCATCCATTCATTTAAAATGCTATAATGACTTTATGGGAATATTTCTCATAAGCATCCAATCATTCATTAATCATATATGATAAAAATATATTGTATTCAAAATTGTTATTTTATTTCCAACATAAAAGATTAGAAACTGATTGAAGATATTTGACTTAATGTTCTGGAATTGCATTCCTCCTATCCTCAATATAGTGAGAAGTGGGGAAAAGGAGGGATTTCAAGCTCTAACGCTGGCAGTGACTGCACAATATAATTTCTCAACCATCCATGACAGCTGAAACCTATTAGTTGTGTTTAATTACCTCATGATTCTACTAACACCATTATTGGGACTGATAGAACTGTGCTTGGACAGAATTTTACTTCACTCGATTGCAATTCTGGATGTTCCAGACTGACAATCTAGCATCCCCATTGAACTAAGCCTAGTAATTATCTCCCCTTATGGGCAGCCAATGCAGCTTTTGGAATATGTCGCTGGCTGACCAACCAGGAGGTCTACAGGGCGACCTTTGGTTGCACAGATTTTCGTACTATAGTCGAACCATCTGCATGCGAATGACATTTAGTTCAACCAGTGGTCGTGACCAGCCGTACCATGCGATAAAGCACGGTCGGGATAGTTCAAAGATGGCTGACAAAACTGACACTTGAGAAGATTTTCTGAAAAATGTAATAAAATTGCCGTTGCGTTATTTACACCTTGGTCGGTATTATAGGGCCCATGATAACACCTGAAAGATGGTAATGGGCATTGTAGTATAGATGTTAAATTTGAGAGATTAGGATCTTCTTATTTGAATATATATAGGCACACAACAAAAAACTGTAAGTGTTAAATCATCTTGGTTGGGTGACATAAATTCAATGAAAAATATTGATAATTGACTTATCCTATTTGTAACCTATTTTAAACTTGCTTTCACATCGCAGTATGGAAAATTGACCAGTTTTTAAAGATACATGAGTAAATAGGAGAAAATATAGCAGGCGGAACAACTGACATGGTCGCCACCATATTGAATAGTCAATGGCTAGGGCCATTTACATTTGGGTGCTGGTTCAGACTGTAGTCGCGACCATAGTCTACATCCGAAGGTCGCCGGGGATATTCCTGCCTTGGTTCCCCGTTGTCAGGATTGAAGGCCTGGTGAGTAAAAGCGTCTATCACAGTCATTCAGATGTGGTGAAAAACGATACCCCATATTACTATTATTGCTATCATTCACAGTTGTGAATCGTAATAAAATCAGGTTGTGGAGCTGATGTCTGTCTGCATTACACTCATTAGAGCATAAAAAAAGGCTTCAAACCCCATTTCAGTTATTCCCCTTATTTCAAATGTAGTTGGTCTATTTATAGCAATTCTCTTTTTCTCCCATATATAAGGGATTTTTGTTGATGTTTTGGTCTGGAATTGAATTTACATTTTCTACTGATTTCTGTCGTGTTTTGGTGAATAATCATGATTTCGAGGAGGAAGGATCAAGGGGTAAATAACCAGACATGAATTGGGGAAATCAATTAAAAAAGAATGTCAGGCTATGGATTCCTTTGCCCTGGTGTAGGAAGAAAATCAAGAGAGTCAACCCACTTCAATATTTTTGTCAGATAATTATGACCATGTTGGGAACTTTGTGGTTATAAAATTTAAGATCATCAGACATCAGAATGTTGAAACAAATATTATAGGCAAAGAAATGTCATGGATTTAATGCTGAAGTTAATGAAGGAAGAATTGCTTGTCTGAACCCTGCTATGGTAAAGTTATCTCCCTTTAGTCTTCAAATTTCAAAAAACGTTTTTCAACCTCAACACATATTGTGTTTGTAGTTGCATAAAATCATTTTATTAGACCATAATACTGTAACCTGGGTATCATTTAATCTTGTGTGTCCAGCACTAATTTCTTTCACATTCGTTTAATATCAAATCTTTGTTTAAAAATTTGTAAAAATCATTTAAAATCACCAAAAATCATCTAATTTGTACTTGTGTCCAGTTTAAAGCCGACTGATTAATTTTGATAATGTGTGTCCAATTTACAAGTATTTAATTTCCTGACCCCTGTTCAAAAATTAATCATTATGCATCAATAATCAATTTGGTCAGGGTTTTGTTTTTTAACAATGATTGAGAAATTAAACACTTGGACACGGTCAGCTTTAAACTGGACACAAATACAAATTAGATGATTTTTGGTGATTTATACAACTTTTTATACAAAGATTGGATATTGAAAGAATGTGAAACAAATCAGTGCTAAATACACAAGATTAAATGATACCCGGGTTACAGTGAATGAAATAAACTTTTTATTTAAATACAAACGGAAAAGTGGCTGGCTAATATCAAAATTGGGCCCTCCCCTCCCCCCCCCCCCCCAATGTATCAAATTAAAGAAACAAGAAACAGATATTTAATAGGAGATGTTTTATTTCTTATTGAGACTCAAAAATGTCAAATTTAATACAAACGTCATGGTATATTATAATATTCAAACAATATGATAAACATGTCGCTCACTGTAATATAAGAATCAACGCAGTAAATGAAATAGACACAGAAATAGGGTCCTCAGATGGTGTGTTAATTTACATAAAAAATTAATGACAAATCTTAGAACTGATTTAACGTAACAGTGCCCGACTGATATCTCTAATACCTATATTTTCTCATTGAACATATTGATGGTATCAAAATAAATGAAGCGTTTAAATTTAAAACATGGTATATCGTATTTTAGTCATTTTAAAGATACATTATGCAAGAGCTAAATCTGCTTATTGCAGGTCTTTCTTAAGA